AGGGACAAGATCATTTACCGAAGGCAGCATCAATGGGTCATCGAGGGAATATGATCTCTATGATGATTTTTTAATCGAGGGTCTTTGCTAATGGTATCCCTACGTTCGAGGGACATGACTATTTTCCGAAGGAAACAAGTGGAGTCACCCTAGAGGTGCGTGTGTGAAAAGTGATTTGTTTTCATTTAATTTGTCTTGATTAGGTTTTCTAGCGTTTGATTATTATCTTGCCATACAATCCTATTTAGCTAACAGTTATATATACATACAAGACATACAAAATATAGGCGCAATAAAATAAAATGCGGGAAAGTAAAGACCTACGGCTATTACTTGGCTTTGGGAGATTTACAATATTTACAAATTTGCGGGAATTTGAACGCTAAACTATTACAAAAAAACGTATGTGACTATACATTTGTTTCTAATAAAATAAATAGCAAAAGTAAATACAAAATATTTGCAAAATTATTTTTAAAAATCTTAACATCTAAAAGATTAGAAATTAAATTTTTTGTGCATTTTTGGTTTGATTTGAAATATAAAATAAATAGACTTTAAACCTAAATTAAATATTTAATTAATTATAAAAGAAATCTATGTCTAATTAATTAAGAAAAATATTGTCTAGAAATTAAATTAACCTATTAAAAGTCTAGTTCTGATTTTATTATATTATTTTTGTGATTTTATTGATTAAAGAAAATGATTAAAAAGAAAAATTAAATTAATTAGACAAAATGAAAAAAAAAAGGTTAAAAAGTATTAAAAAGAAGAAAAGAAGAAAAGAAAGGTTCAGGCGATGGGGTTTGAACCCACACCCTTCAATTTACAGTCTCCATCCTTTGCCATCTGAACCATGCGCGCTTGGTGTTTGAAAAATGGGATTTGATAATTATATGATAAACCTGCAAAGATTGGGAAATAATAGCAAAAATATATCCTGCATTGTTGTACCTCAAAAGATCATTAGTGGTGGTAGTATGCAATAAAACAAAATGAAAATAGAAAAATGAATTTGCAAGAAATTAAGAAAAATGGCGTAGCATGTATGCTCATTTCATACTCTTTGGATCATTACAAATGATCCAAACTTACCCTACATTCTCCAGGAAGTGAATGGAAATGCTGGTTTGTTTTGATCGTGGCTGCAACTAGAGTTTACAACTTGCCCTAGTTTTGAGAATTTTGGAGTGTTTTTTTTTGGGAGCAGCTTTTGTGTCCTTTTTACTTGAGTATTGCATGTATTTATAGAGGAATGAAATAGAAAAAGAACAAGACAAGAATCTTGTACCATTATGTCACAATTCATTGCAAAAAAACACATTGAAATCTTTCCAAAATTGTTTTAAAAACATTCCAAAATTGAAGATTCTTATTCCCAACATGTTTTCAAGGTTTTAGCATGTTTGTCATGTGTTCTTGGGCCTCCATGTGATTGAAATCAAAAGCCCATGCGCCTTGGCTCAATGATTTTATATTTTTGATTTACTTGCATTTGAATGAATAAAAATTCAATAAAAGAAAAAAATAATAAAAAATATATGAATGGATTTAGAGGTCTTATAACACATTATGAACATGTTTGAACATCAAAAGTTAGGCCCATTAGTCTAGAATTTCAAGTTTGCTCACTTTGCATTTCATGTATTTTACTAAAATTTCCCAATTTGCAATGGTCATAACTCTCTCAATTTTAATCTTTTTAAGATGATCTTGGACTTTTTGAAAATATAAAGATGACTTATTCAATTTCTATTTTGATCATTTTTGCATTTGGAGATTTTATCTTGATGTAAGTTGCCTTGACAAAAAGTGTCTTTTTGTTGACTTTTGAAATGACCTATAATGTATGGGCTCATATCTCTCAAATGAAGCACTTTTTGGACTTGAGTATATAGATACGAAGTTGCATAGAATTTAATTTCTTTCAAAATGGGATTTGGTTAAGGAAAAGTTGATGAAGCATGTGAAATTTATGCTTGGTCAAAGTTCAGTTGACTTCTCCTAAGGAAACCATAATTTGGTAACTTTTGACTTTTGATGATTTGAAGGCTTTCCTTGAGGAACCATGATCAACCCTTGATCAAATGATGAAAATAACTTCAAAATGTTGATGTTAACCAAAAATCTTGAAGTTTGACTGTATGTTGACCATAGTTGACGTTTTACCTAATACAGTTGATTTTCAGTCATTTGAGTCATTGACTGAGCAAACTTGTGATGCAAGGCTTGAAACTTGACATGAACATTGTTGAAGACCTATGGAGAGTCATGGAAACAACTTGAGATCTTTGCAACCCAAACTTCCTTGAAGAACACAAAAACCTAGTTATGGACTCATTGTTAAGGAGGAGAATTTGTCTGATCAATTCTTGAGCATCCTTGAGCATTTGAGAACCCTAGAAGAATGTCTTGAAGAAAATAGGGGGGGGGGGATTTTGGGGTACAACACCGAGTATTTTGATGGAAGTGTTGTGACTACTTCGTTCCTTGGTCAGTGAGGGACTACCTTTGTGGATTTGATTTTTCTTGACCTCTTGATGTGTGCGTTATGGTTGACCCTCAGATGTTCACTCCTTTTGAAATTTGAATGCTCGATCAGATTAACTGAAGTCTATCTGACCCCTGGTAAAATGTCAGGGTTTTTTATGTAGAGAAAATAAACTCCTACTTCAAGGCTCATAGGGGTTGACGAGGGTCTATCTCCCTTATATATTTGATGTTTGGGGATTTGAAACAATGCATGTACATTGTTGGCAGGGTCTTATTTGAAAGCATACCATTTGAGATTCTAGGTATTATATTTTAATCACCCTCCCTCCAGAGTCATCTTGCAAGAGTTAAGTATCAAAGAAAAACATTAATGAGTGAAAGAAGTGGATTTCTTCAAGACAAACATATTCAATACATTAATTTTCATTCATAAACAAACAAGTTTTGCATACAATAAGTACTGAACAAAACAAGAAAAATTACATGCGAGAATGCTGAAAAGAAGCTAAAGGCAGCCAATGTTGAGGAGATTCGACTCCGTATGGACTTATTGCTTCAGAAGATGTTATTTTTTTGTCTTGGTACTCCCTTGTGAAACAACCGGCTGAAAATCATTAAACAATAAAGTCGCCATTGAACGTCTTTTATCCCACATGAAGGGAAAGGTAAACATCGAGAAAACCTGAGAAGGGAGAAGTCACAGTCTTGCAACCGAGAGATCGGGTAAGGGAGTCTGTTACGCGAGGGGAAGGTATTAGCACCCCACACACCCGTAGTACTCTACGGTATCCACTCTTGTTATCTATCTTATGGGTGTGTTTAATCTATTCTTACTGTTTACTATACTACTGAAGAGAGAATGCATTCAAAATAAAGAGAAAAGGATGTAGGCAAAATAAAGTTGTACTCGCTTAGGCCCTACCCCAATGCCTACGTATCCTTTTTGAGGAATCAGAGCTACTGTAGTTCGGCTCACATGTTTTTGTTTGTTTATGTGTTTTTTATGGACGATGCTAATTCCACCTTCTGCCACAGCTCGACCTTTGGAGACTTATGTGTTGGAACAAAAGTAAATTAATCATGTCCTTACCTAAAAAGGGTTTTCTGAGAAAAGGTGCTTGGGCGCATAAAAGGTTTGAGTTGGTTTGTATTTTTGTTACCTTGAAAAAGGGTTTAAGTGTGATTAGCATGTTTTTTATTTGCTAAGAAAGGAAGTTTTAGTTTTAGATGAAAGGATGCAAAAAGGGAAGAAAAGAGTCTAAGGGAGACTAGCCTATTTCTAATCCTAATGTTATCATACAATGGTAGTCCTAAGATTTGGATTAACAAAAGGGAAACGTCTACCTAATGTTAGCATGCATGGCTTGCAACCTAAGGTCTAACTCGCATCCGAATGAAACAAGTGCATCCTAAGGGAACATGGTATGCAGAAGGATAAAGAAAACAAGCTAATAAGCTCAAGAGAGCACACCTAGAGAGATCCTATCTAGGTTAGCATGCCAAAGAAAGTCTAACAAAACTATCCTATAGGGAACATGCAATGAGAGCGAAGTCGTGATCTCAATTTCTAAATTGAGTGACTCATCGATCAACAAGAAATAAAAGAAAGCAATAAAATTCTATAGGGATCATGCACTGAGAGCAAAGTCGTGATCTCAATTTTTGAATTGAGTGACTCATCGATCAACAACCAAAGAAACAAACACAAGCACAACACGTATAACAAATGAAGTGCAGAATGCCTACTACAGGTCTTTAAACAGCGACTTCGAGCGCACACTCTTTATTTCCTACTTCTCATGATATCTAGAAATGCGATAAAATGCGAAAATGAGGAATAAAATAAGGTCACAGTGATACAAAACTGAGAAGGTCTGCTGCCTCTTCAAAGCCACGCAAGCAATAACAAAAATCTACCAAAAGCTTCCTCGAATTTACTTGATGAAAATTATGGCCTTAATTTACTTTGAAACCTTTGGGAATCTTCAACAACGTCATCCCACAATTGTTCCCACTTATATCATGGATTGAACACTACTATCATATGCAAGTGGCATCAAGATCTCTCAAACAAAGATTAAAAAGTTAGTGCAATAATTGATCGTAACTGAAATATAACAAATTTCCAAAATTCCAAAGTATTTCCTATCATTTTTCATGTATCATTTTATCACCAAAGAGTTTATCGAAATTAATGAAGAAAAATTAATAGAAAAAAAAAACAAATAATACCACTCTAAACAGAGGGGGTGCATTGTTGAGCTTAAGAGGTATGTTGCAGCAAGTTGATGCTAAGCCCATCAGCCATTTTTGTTCACCAACTCAGAAACTACCAAAAATGCCATTGGGCCATATAATCCGGTCCATCAGCAACCCAAGTCCAATACTTCATATTTTCCCAAAACTGCAACCCTAGCACCCTTCTTCTTCACTCCAGTCCACCTCGGGTATCAATCTCGCCGCCTCACACCGCCGTAAAACACACGGCCTCCAACTTATCTCTTATGCCTCCACCTTATCTCTTACGCCTCCACCAACAGCCTTCTTTGATTTCTACCGATTTGCCGCTATTTTCGCTCATACTTCTCCGACCTTCTCTGATTTCATCTCAACCTTTTCGTCTACCACTGCTCAATTCTGCCTCATCACCTTCGGTTCACACATCTCCGCAACAATGGCTCCGGCGACATTTTAACAAAGACATCACAAGAACTAGCGGTGGAGTGTATTCTCATTCTTCTTCGACTTCGATATGATTCGCTGATATATATCCTCGATTCTTCTTCTTCCTTTCTGCGATTCGTTTTTGAGTTGACGGTGCTTTGATCTGGGATGTTAATGTCGCATTGATGTTGAATTCGTGCATGTTTTGCAGTGATAAAAATTAAAGATACGAAGCTATGAAGTGTTGAACAGATGTGGATTCTTGGTGCAAATTGAAGATGAAGATTGTTGTGGGAGAATTGGTGATACAGAGATGAAGGATGCGAGTGTTGCTGATGACGAAGATCGTGAACGATGATGATAGAGGAGTATTGATGTTGTGACGCTGATGAAGAGTGATACCAAAGAATTGGTGCATAAGTAATTTTTGTAGAAGAAGGTTGCATATTGAAGACGCGGTTGAAGAAGCTTGAAAGTTGTGAATTTGTTTTTGTAAACTTGTTGCGGTCTTATGGATTGTTAGAAGATGAATATGATGCGGATTTGTTGCACATTGAAGTTACTACGTCCTTGTTGTGATTGAAGCAAGTAGAGAGAAGAGTGCATAGAATTTTCTGTTGAAGCGATGCATATTTACAAGAGTTTCAGAGTCTTCTTCTTGGTGGCTCTTCAATCAGATGAAGAATTGATGAAGATAACTCTGGTTGAAGAAATGTGCTTGAAGGATCTCAGAGAGAAGTTGAAGGTTTTCTTAATTTTCTGGTGAGTTTATTCTCTATATTCTGATTCTGAATCGTGTATGATCCTCCTCCTTCTTTTCTTCTTCTCAATTCTGTTATCCAGTATTCTCAGTTTGTTGCTGTTGAGAGTTTGTTATGAAGTTTGTTAGAAGTTGGTTAGGAGGGCCAGTTGGAATCTGTTAGAATTGGTTGGGAATTGTGAATCGGTTAGAAAATTCTGTTTTGGGTTGGTTTAGCTGTTGGAGGTTTTTTATGGTTCTGTTCAGAAACAGTTGGTTAAAGGGAAGTTTGGGGTTTCTGTTAGAATTCTGTTGACAATTAGGATAGAAGCTGTTATGGAATAGCTGGTAACTGTTAGAGATATTAGGAAAAGCAATTAGAAGGGTGAGAGGGGTTATGATAGTTAGGAGGTTAGAATATGGTTAGAGGATGAGATTTAGGAGAGTTAAAAAGAGGTTAGTTGTTAATTCTGTTATTTGATTTGTTATAGGTTGTTTTGGAGGTTAGCCCGAGATTTGTTAGTGAGCTATTAGGAAGTTGATTGAATGAAAAAGAGGTTAAGGAATTCTATTTTTGCGGTTTTTGACATTTAGAAATTTTGCTATTTCTGTTAGACTATTTATATTTTCTATTTCTGGTTGAAAGTTGGCTGACTGGTATGTCTAGACATGTTATGACCCCCCTTTTTTTTTGTTCTTACAAGACTGCATATTACTGTTTAGAATTTTCTGTTTGAATGGTTTGGAGCTGAAGCTATCTGTTTTCTTAATATTTGAGAATTGTTTGGACTACAGGACAACAAGGCAGCTAATGGTTAACTATTTTTATGCGGGTTTTGTTTATGTGCAGCAGAGTTGTAATGGTTTAGCGATAACTCTTGAGCATGAAGGTGAAGATTGAAACAGGGGAAGAGATAAGGCATAAAGAGTGATCCTTGGAGCTCGAAGAATAGTAGTTAGGACAAGGATTTTTTCAATTTTAGTAGCTTAGGACCTTAGGAATTTTGTGTAGTTGTTTTTTGGAATGTAATATGAATTTGTCATGGTTGCAAGTGTAAATGAATTTGGCATTTGTAATGTCTTGTGAAGGAATTTGAAATGCATAGAACTTTACGTGAATGAACTTTGTAAGCACCCCGAATGGATTTAAATGTATATGGATGCTTCTTGACTTTTGCAACTTGAGTGAATATTCGTAGTGAACATGGACTTGAATGAAGTTGAATATCTTTTATAATGAAATGATTAAGTGTTGAACATGATGAATAAGATAAAGATGATTATGATGAATGAATGCCTTGCACTTGTACTTTGTTCCTTAAATCTCAAGAAGTCCAAATGCATTCCCTTTCCAACCTTGCGAATTCCCAACAACTTTGATGAATTGAACCAAATTTGAATCCATGGAATCATTTAAATCCACTTTAACCTTAATCCAAATTAGCTCACCTGACAAGCAACAAACAATTTGAGAGAATGATGCCTTGATTATGATCCACATATTGTACCATGTATCGACTGTATGAGCAATAGAATAACAATGCCTTGGATCCTTGAAGAAGATATTTAAGATAACTTTGAACTTAAACCCTAGCTCAATTAGTCTTTACTTAAACATTTAGTGACCCTAATGATACTGCCCTTCATGAAGATGACAACCTTGTAGCTTAATGAGAAAAAAGAAGTTCTCAATGACCTAAAACACAAAATCTAATTCCTCAAACCCTGATTGATGAATAACCATGTTGATCCGAGCTTGCATGAAGATGAGAGCCTAAAAGCACAAAGAAACCCTAATTCCTCAGTATCTTAGATCCCATGCCTATTTTATTGATTGATGAAGCATGATGTTGTTAAATGACCTAATAGAGGTTATGTATGTAAGAAAAGTGAAAAATAAATAAGCTAGATAAAAGTGAAAAGGTAGGACAAATTTGGGGTATTACAGCTTCCCTTATTTAATCGTCTTAAACCTAAAAGTACGATTGGCGCGTGCCTTTCGGACGTTCGAGGTAGAAGATGATTAAATACCAATGCCGAACATTTGTTCTGAGAGAAAGTGTAAGTGTTTATTTATTTTTATGATATCTGATGGGGAAAGAATTTTCTTGTTTTTAGTGAGAAGGGTTTATGGATGAACGTGGAAGGTGGTTGCTATTAAAATGGCAATGGTGCGGAAATGAGGTTTAGAACCGGATACGAAGAGCACTTGAAAACTGACACGATGAGTGTTTAGAAGTTAATGATGACGAGTGTTTAGAAATTGACATGAAGAGTGTTGGAAGGTAGCATGGTGTAAACACAAGGACAGAGAAAACTTGTAACATGGCATGATGCCAATACAAGGAAGAGATTAGACTTGTAACATAGCATGATGCCAATACAAGGAAGAGATCATACTTGTAACGTAGCATGATACCAATATAAGGAAAAGATCAGACTTGTAACATAGAGTAATGCCAATACAAGGAAGATATAAGACTTGTAATGTAGCATGATACCAATACAAGGAAAGGATCAGCCTTGTAACGTAGAATGATGCCAATATAAGGAAAAGATCAGACTTGTAACGTAGCATTATGCCAATACAAGGAAGAGATCGGACTTGTAACGTAGCACGATGCAAATACAAGGAAGAGATCGAACTTGTAACATAATGTGATGTCAATACAAGGAAGAGATCGGGCTTGTAACGTAGCACAATGCCAATACAAGGAAGAGATCGAACTTGTAACGTAGCGTGATGCCAATACTAGGAAGAGATCGGGCTTGTAACATAGAGTGATGCCAATACAAGGAAGAGACCGGGCTTGTAACATAGCAGGGTGCCAATACAAGGAAGAGATCAAACTTTTAATGTAGCCTGATGCCAATACAAGGAAGAGATCGGGCTTGTAACGTAGCGCGATTCCAATACAAGGAAGAGACCGGACTTGTAACATAGCGTGATGCCAATACAAGGGAGAGTTCGTACTTGTAATGTAGCATGATGCCAATACAAGGAAGAGATCAGACTTGTAACGTATCACAATGCCAATACAAGGAAGAGATCGGACTTTTAACGTAGCACGATTCCAATACAAGGAAGAGATCGGACTTGTAACGTAGCATGATGCCAATACAAGGAAGAGATCAGACTTGTAACGTAGCGTGATGCCAATACAAGGAAGAGATCAAACTTGTAACGTAGTATGATGCCAATACAAGGAAGGGATCTGACTTGTAACGTAGCATGATGCCAATACAAGGAAGAGATCAAACTTGTAACGTAGCGTAATGTCAATACAAGGAAGAAATCAGACTTGTAACGTAGCACAATGCCAATACAAGGAAGAGATCAGACTTGTAACGTAGCGTGATGTCAATACAAGGAAGAGATCAGACTTGTAACGTAGCATGGTGCCAATACAAGGAAAAGATCAAACTTGTAACGTAGCATGATGCCAATACAAGGAAGAAATCGGACTTGTAATGTAGCATGATGCCAATACAAGGAAGAGACAGGAATTGTAACGTAGCATGATGCCAATACAAGGAAAATATCAGACTTGTAATCTAGCACGGTGCCAATACAAGAAAGAGATCAGACTTGTAACGTGGCACAATGCCAATACAAGGAAGAGATCAGACTTGTAACGTAGCGTGATGCCAATACAAGGATGAGATCGAACTTGTAATTTAGCATGATGCCAATACAAGGAAGGGATCTGACTTGTAAAGTAACATGATGCCAATACAAGGAAGAGATCAAACTTGTAACGTAGCGTGATGCCAATACAAGGAAGAGATCAAACTTATAACGTAGCGTGATACCAATACAAGGAAGAGATCGAACTTGTAACATAGCATGGTGCCAATACAAGGAAGAGACCGAACTTGTAACGTAGTGTGATGCCAATACAGGGAAGAGATCGAACTTGTAACGTAGCATGATACCAATACAAGGAAGAGACCTAACTTGTAACGTTGTGTGATGCCAATACAAGGGAGAGATCAAACTTGTAACGTATCATGTTGCCAATACAAGGAAGAAATCGGACTTGTAACATAGCACGATGCCAATACAAGGAAGAGATCAGACTTGTAACGTAGTGTGATGCCATTATAAGGAAGATATTTGACTTGTAACATAGCACGGTGCTAATACAAGGAAGAGACCGAACTTGTAACGTAGCATGATGGCAATACAAGGAAGAAATCGGACTTGTAACGTAGCATGATGCCAATACAAGGAAGAGACCAGACTTGTAACGTAGCGTGATGCCAATACAAGGAAGATAACAGACTTGTAACGTAGCATGGTGCCAATACAAGGAAGAGATCGGACTTGTAACGTAGCACGATGCCAATACAAGGAAGATATCAGACTTGTAACATAGTGTGATGCCAATACAAGGAAGAGATCAGACTTGTAACGTAGCATGACGCCAATACAAGGAAGAGATCGGAATTATTACGTAGCACGATGCCAATACAAGGAAGAGATCAGACTTGTAATGTATCATGATGCCAATACAAGGAAGAGACCAGACTTGTAACATAGTGTGATGACAATACAAGGAAGAGATCGAACTTGTAACGTAGGGTGATGCCAATACAAGGAAATGATCTGACTTGTAACGTAGCATGATGCCAATATAAGGAAGAGATTGAACTTATAACATAGTGTGATGCCAATACAAGGAAGAGATCGAAATTGTATTGTAGTGTGATGCCAATACAAGGAGGGTATAACACAGACGAGTGTTTGAATCGATACAGACGAGTATTAAAGAAAGGTTAAACATGGACGAGTATTTGGGAGACTGACACAGATGAGTGTTTGGAGAACTGACACAGATGAGTGTTCGAATCAATACGGACGAGTATCGAAAGAAGATACAGACGAGTATCAAAGAAATATTTAACATAGACGAGTGTTTGAAGAACTGACACAGATGAGTGTTTATGAGTTGACACAGATGAGTGTTTGGAAACTAACACAGACGAGTGTTTGGAGAATTAATTATTTGTCAGGAAGGAACTGCCTACCAGACGAAAACTAGGTTTAGAATGACATGGTGTATTGATTTTATCGGGAATTGTGAAGGCGAATGTCACCAGCTGGGGATTTGGGAATGATATCCTCTTGTAGGCATGTATTGCTGTTTTTGAATGATTCAGGTCTTTCATGTAAGGTACCTGATCTGGCTTATGCTTCGTATGCATGTTTGAATTTATTTTGCCTCAAAGATCCATTCTGATGGATCGGCTACGCGCTTTTGAGGATGAAATTCTATGCAATGATAACTATATGCAATGCAAAGAAATAGACTTCATGGGATTTGCGAAGGCTCATTAAGAAATGTTGCTCATCACTAGGGATGCCAATATATATCGGTGCTGGAAGCCTGCGGTACTAAGGATTGCTGGGGATATTGATAAGAATTTGCATTGGGGAGCTCATGATACCAAAGATTATCAATGATTCTGCTGGAGATTGAATTGCTGACAGAGCAAGTTTACAGGTACGCTGTTGAATTCTGAATTGTGTTGTTGGGGAAGAGATAATCTGGCCCGACTTCCCTACACCCCGAACCACTGAGAGGATGGTAGAACTGAATATGCCGAAGAATGGATACTGAATACCATGTGGATCTCTTCGAATACATGCCCCAAGTTTACGCCACAATGGGGAATTACTGAATTTCATCTTGAATGACTTGGGGATAAAAGATGGGCATGGACACCTGCTAATGCCCCAGTTTAGCTATGCGAATGCCCCAGTTTGCTCCACTGGGGATGCATTTGATTAACTCCACTTGGGATGCACTTACGCGTGCCAAGTCAAACAGCGACTCTGAACTTTCTGAATTCACTTGGGGAATCAGGTTTAAAATTATCTGTAGCAGACAAAGGTGG